ATCTTTAAGAGGAGCTAGAAAGCAAAAGTTGTGTTGTGTTCAAGTGAGGTAATGAGAGCCACAGGCGGTTCAGCCCAGCTAAATGTTAAGTTCATAAAAGATGAAAAAGACAAGTCTCTAAGTTGCATGAGCAAAACATTTCACAGATTTTGTAATCTCAACAGAAAGAGAAGATAAGAAAAAAATGGTTCCTAACATTCCCTGGCTACCTCATTAAATCTTCCTCTGCCTCACTATCCAGACAATTTCACCATCGCTCCACCAGAAGAAGAGTTCCCCCTTTGAAGGCGCCACAAAGTGTTTCAAATACAAGCTGGTTTTAAGTCTTTTTCATGGACAAATCACAAAACAGAAACACCAAACATTAAAGAGAATTGACAGATTCCAAGAGGCAATGTTTCATACAGTTCCAGACAACAGCTTTTTGTTTGGGGTCATGGACTATTTTTTTTCCCCTATTTGTAATGTTCATTGAGGTCTAATTATTATTCTTATGATTATGAAATAAACAAGTTTAAATCAAACAAAAAAAATCATAGTCTCACTAGAAAGCAGAACAAAATAAAAGCAGATTAGATTCCTGTCTGTATTACCCATTAATGTGTCGAAGCATTTGCTACAAATCAATAGATTAAATGCTGCGGCTACTTTACAAACTGGCATGAGACTTGGTTAAGGTGCCAAAGGGTGAATGGCTTGTATGATTTTTAATAAGGATGCAAACATGAGGATACATAGTTAAATGTTTGATGAGAATATTGAAATGCATTATGGTTGGTATAAATGGAAGCTTTAAAAAAAGTCTTAGTGCAAGATCTGGGCCATATAAGGTCAACAAATGAATGCACCAAAGGACAAAAACTATCCTCGAAAAAGAGCAAACTGCTCACGAGTGTAAAGTAGGATGTATTCTTTCATTTTTCACTAAATGTAGGATTGGTTGATATTTGCAACTATTTGCATGTTCCCACTGAAACTTCCTTAAATACAAGATTTATGAAAGAAGACAGAAGGATTACAGAGACAACATGTATAGACCTCCTGCATGCTCTAAAAGATGTGCTTCAGCTCTAGGAATCTTGCTACATTTCATTAAATGTATTTCTTTCAGAAAATTTAGATTGAAGCTCCTTTCAACTTTTTATTTGCTACTTTTAATGTAAGTAAGGCCATGTCCCTACGTACCTGGGTTTTATTTAAAAATTTAAATTAAAATTAGCACACAAAAACCCATCCCCATGGACACCCATGAAATGCTGTAATTACTTTATGAAACCAACAGTCAATTCAGTTATTGTCCCATTAATTTTTAAAATGATTATTTAACACTGTGTGTGCAAAAACACAAGTGTCTCTTTTCAGATCAAACATGCGCATTGTCCTGTACATGCCACAAGCCGCTATATCAGAATAAACAGAAACATAGCCCTCCCTTCGGCCACCACTATGTTTGCCTTCCATCTAATTCCACATCCAGTACAACCAGATTCAAATTGAAAATAGCATTTAATGCAAATCACACATGTTACCAATTTAAGCAAATGAGATGTATTTGTTTATTAAATACTTGAATCTGCAGAAATTTGAAGATTTACCCTCAAGCTGTGCTGAAAAATAAACCATTCCCTTGGTTGAACTCTCCCTTTTTCTTTGATTTGGTTTGGCTTTGTCCTGGTGTAGCAGCAGCAATAGTTTTTTTTTTTTTTTTTTTTACATTTCACATATGTGCATGTTTATTAGGATATTAGCGCTTTCGAGAAGTCTCAGTCCATTAATACACAATCCATACACAAATGTTTATCCTCATCCTAAGATTTTATAAAAAAGAAAAAAACATTTCCAGACATGGAGGCGCAATCCATACACAATACACATGGTGGTACACAGAGTAGCCGATGACCTTCCTGGAAGGAGTTTGTATGTTCTCCCTGTGCTTGTGTGGGTTTTCTCCAGTTTTCCCCACAATCACAAAAAAACATGCATCAGGTTACTTGAATAATATAAAGTTGTGAATTGCCCTGCGGTGGACTTGCGACCTGTCCAGGGTTTACCCCTGCTGTTTGCCTGATGTAAGCTGGATATATGCACCAGCAGACCCCTGTGACCCCGAAAGGGGATAAGTGAGTATGTTAGATGAATGAATGAATGAATGAATGAACGAATGAATGAGGCAAATATCTAAGTCAGAATGAAAAACTAAATATGACGGATTTTCTTACGTCTGTGTGTGGCGCTGCGACTTGCATCTTCCCTTGCATTTAACCGTAATATGCTAAACTCTTCTGCCACTACCAGATGGCTATGTCAGTATCCACATATGTGTCCATAATGTCCCCAATTTAGCATTAAACAAGATTGTGGAAAACCGAGCTAAAAGGTGCTGTCCATGCATGTGGTCACCTTGTTTATATGCTGGAAGGGGCTAGAAGAGGAAAATGCTCAATCATAGTTGGTGAAGAATAACAGTGAACTAATACATACAAATTTGTCCCAAAGTAGCCAGTTGTCACCCAATGTCATTTTCTCGCTGTGCCCTAGACGTGCACAGAAGGCTGGATGTTATCAGTTGGTGCTAATCACAAAGCTTGTTGTAGGACTGTTAATCAAGTGTTTTATCAGCATTCAAAGTCAATTGCATCCAATTAGATTCAGCTCCAGCCAACCCCTGAATGTGAGCCATAATCACAGATCACGGCTGAATTCATGACTCATGTGTAGAATTGAGATTGGGAACCCTTCGTTCTATCTACAGAGAAAGAGCAAATACAATTCACTGCACGAGGCTGGAATAAGCACCATCTTCTCTCAGCAACGCTTCACTATGCTAATGAGACTAAGCCATGGATGCTTGTGTTGACGCTGCGGGATATGTTAGCAAACACTTAGACCTCCGAGTTAAAACACCACACTCAATCAAAAAGACTATTTTAAATGTCAGTTGGAAAACAGAAGAGAGAAACAAAGCATTTTAGATGTCCTTTACACACGCCTTTGCCCAATCTCTCAGGCGTTTCCGGCATTTAGGTCAGAGATTCAATGAAAAACAGTTGACCTCTTACACTTTTGAAGAGAGATGAGGCAGAACAACCCTTTGGTCATAGATATGTAGGTATTTATGCATTAAACTTGAGCAGTGCATCAAAGGAGACTTATCATGACCTTTTAAAATGACTTTTTTTCTCTTTCTAACAACTATCTGATTTCAGCTGATCATTCTGTGTTGGACGGTTTCGGATCAAATGATTGAAATAACAAGATGTCGAATCACATCAGCTGCTGTTTGAATGATCCTCTGGAAGAAATATTTCTCTGAGCCAGAACATTTATTGAGATTAGGGACCAAAGCCCTATAAGGCTGCAATCCTGGCATCACCCTGTGCCATCAGCAGTGGGCGAGGTTGTGAGTTTTGGTCCTGCTGAAAGTTCAGCCGAGTAACCAGCAGGAGATCTGCACCAACAGCAGGTCTCGGAACAAAATGTGAAATTTCCGACAGAATTACAGCTGTGTACTGAGCAATTCAGCACAGCTCATCTGAGAGAAAAACAATTATCCCACAGGGAAGAGCTGGATCTCTTTCCCAGCCTCCATTCACACCATGCCCCGAGAAATTCCTATAGCCAGCCAGAGCCCTGGATCTCCCTGGCAAGCAACAGATGCTTTTGTTGTGGTGCATTCAGATTTGGTGCACGCACCTCTTTTTAACATTTACCGGTGTCAGATGATTCACTGGAGTCAACTCTAATGGCAAAATGAGCTCTCAGAAGTATGCAAGTAAAAGTAGAAGCCTAAAAATGTTATGTGCACATGTTAAATGGTATGGAACAACATTAAAAACGTGGATCCCAACTAACTAGAAGCCTCGAGACAAAGTAGGAAAAATAAATGCATTAAAACTATATAGGTCAGCATTTGAATCACTGGGATTTAGTCAGATACCAAAATCAGATAATTTGTTTCTGCTAAAATTGAGCTGGGAGAGTGAGAATCCATTAAAGAGGCCTGAACTGATGTTTATTTTTCTTTGCTCTGTTAATTGAGGCCAACTGATTGGTACAGTTGATTCCAGATATTTGCATGCACTTCAAAAATAAGCACAAATGTTTCTGTTATCCCTTGTCAAATATTAAATCTGAGTAAAAATGTTCTGTTTCATATCAATAAATGTAAAAAAAATGGCACAAGAGGTAATAATGCCAGGTTGATTGTATTGTACAAAGCCATTGTTTGATTTTTACTAATTAAAAAGATCCTTTGTGATATCAAGCCAGTACAAATCAACCATGCCAGTAATTTAGGTGTACATTTTTCAGTTAAAATTTTTCCTTCAAACACTGAGGTCACGATGGTTTTCTAATCTACTATGAATAGATATGTTAATGATTTAGCTGGTGTTTTGCTAACCCATATATTTATTCAGACTTCAGAGGCCGATTCATTTTTGTATGTTTTGCTGAATTCAGAGATAACCATGCACTCTGCAGTCAGAGGAAGCTCTAAAACTACCAAAAGAGAGGAAAAAGAGATGAAATGGGAAGACCACATATTAAGTGAAAAGACTCTGCTTGAGCAATAAAACAGAGGCTTATTAACAGATTTTGTTTGCAAAATTGGGTGTCGAGCAGGAAAAATAGGTCCTAACGCTGCAATATAACATATATCGAATTTAAACAGATATTTAAATAATGTTTGAGCTGTGGTATTTCCCAAACAATGTAGAATGCTTGCTGATTGGGATACATAGATTCATATGATAAAGTTATAATCTGTATGTAGCAAAAGAAAAACAACAAAGTGAAAGTGACATTAGGACCAGGTATGGAGTGACCCATTCAAGGAATTTGTGCTCTGCATTTAACCCATCCAAGTGCACACACGCAGCAGTGAACGAACACCACGAACACACACCCAGAGCAGCCATGTGAGCTGTGGGGAAACTGGTGACTTTTCTCAAGGCAATCACAGTTGTTGCAGAGTTTCAACACCCATCCCACCTTCAACTCGCAGTGGATCTGGGGTCGAACCAGCGATCTTTCGATCTCTAGTCAATCACCTTATCCACTAGGCCATGACTGCTCAAATACCAAAAAACAGTAAAGAAAAAGTTCTATATACCACCCTCATTTAAACCAGAAAAGAACCACTGAAGAACGTATTTAAGAGCGCACCATGCCAAAGTTTATTTACATAAATAGCACTTTTTATGGTTGGTTCTAAATAGCACTTTTAATGTTAGAGCTCAATAGAACTTTTGATGGTTATTCATGTAGGTTTGTACCCTATAAACTTGAGCACTTTTGTTAAAAAGGAATCTGCTCTGCCATGAAATTTGGTAGAAAAATGACCCATTACAAAACAAAAATACTTATAGAATAAAAACAGCTGAAAATTCCCACAAGGGGAAAACCTTACTAAATTAAATCTGGTACTAGAAACATAAAGTACAAACTACAAACAGAAGACTACTCTAACCGAATCAACGCAGATTAGCGCAAAGAAAACAAATAATTAACTTGCAGACTGACCTGTTTCACAACTGGAAAAGGCAGAGTAAATGTATAGCTGACTGACATAAAGATTGGTAGAACAATGAATCTATGACAAACCCAAAAAACACAGAGAATATAAGAAAACACCCGAAAGAATAAGAGACAGGTGTGCATGCAATTCGGAGAGAAATGGGATGGGAGATGCAAGAGCATACACAAACAAACACAGGAAAGAGGAAAACATAATAACTATGACAGGCTCCCATCTCATACTGCCTCAAGTAGCTAAATTAAGACTTATAGCTTCAGTCACTTCCTTTACACATAGTACAGGATGCGGCGGGTACTCATAGAGCCCCTTTTGGTCCTCATAGAGCTTTATTCTAAACCTTTGAAATGTTAAGCAGTATGTAACAGCTGTTCTACGAGCACTTCCTATGAACTAATACTTGTTTTTCTCCAATTTGTAAGTTGCTTTAGAAAAAAAAGTCTGCTAAACGCATACATGTAATTGTATGGTGGAAGATCTAGTTATGCAAATTATTAGCCTGATTTGTGCTCATCACTAAATCTTGTACTTTGGTCCAAGTATTATAAATTACCCCTACATTTATGCTAAGATGTCCTCCTAAGCATAAATCACACAATCATCCATACAATTACAATTTGAATAAGATCCATGGTCTTCTTAATCTGGCACAGATGTACAGCAAGTGATCTTACTCTCAAGAGCAAAAGTCCCAATTGCCTTCAATTTAATCTCATTACTGTCTAAGAGAAACAATTAAGATCTCATCTGAGATTTCCTTTCGAGAGAGAGAAGATGAGAGAAGGGGAAGGTGAACAAGGAAACTGTGAGATGAGGAGAGGACATGATAATGCAGTCATGCTGAGATGTGTTCCAGCAAAGCTAACATAAGTCAAACTCCAGCGAGCGATCTTCAATTACAAGTTGGTGCTGAAGGTCAGATATTGTAGTTCAAGTGATACAATGTTCAAAGATGGATGGGCCTGCTGATAACATTTAACTAAGTAATCTCACGGAGCCGACAGAGCTCGTTTAAAGAGCTCATATCCTTGGAAACCCTTGGCTTAGTGAGACTCCTTATTATAGGCCATCGCTGCAGGTGTCCCTCAAACATTAAGTGCTGTTCTAATGCAGTCTATGGAGTCTACAACAAATATCCAACTGGGAAAAAAAAGCATGCCGTCTTACAGTGATGAAAAGAGAGAGTAAAGATGAGGGGGTGGCAGCTCCTCGAGGAGTTGTAGAATGTCTTTGTTGTCTAAGTGCCTAATTTAAAAGTTTCCCCGATTTAAAAGTATAAAAGACCTTCCCTCTGTACTAAAAGAAGAGAATAAAATGAAACGCAAGGCATGACAGACACATGGCGAAGCTGCTTTACAAGTTACTTGCAGCTATGGTTGATGAAAAACACAGCCGTGAAATGACAAAAAAGGTAGAGCGCTGTCGAAACCCCCTTTCATGAAGCGGATACAGACAAAAAGAGAGTGATCAGTGTTTGGCTGTGAATAGTCTACTGTCATCAGCCTGCCTACGCTTAGAAAAAAAGATCTGTCAGCTTCCATCAATGCACAATCACAGAGAGATGTTCCAACACGGCAGCTCAAACTCTCGGCTCAGTGTTCCTGCACAATCAGGCATATTTCCCACCTCACACTTACATTGTCTTTATAGTACAATAAGGAGCTAAACTGAATGAGTCGAGTGCTTGATATCATGATATGAAGAAACTCAATCATTTCTGCGTTTGAGGCTGATTTCAAGTTTTGGGGGTTGACAGGCTAATTATGTATGTTTCAACCAGTAACATGCTCAGAAAGAAAAACTGGCACTGTCAGTTGGATTATATCAAAACAATCTACGGTCATTATCAGATGATAAGCACCATTCATAAGAAAGATTAGATACCCATCAATCTCAGCTTGCAGCCTTGAGCTAATGCAGTATATCCTCATTTGATTCGACGGTGGATAACAATACGTAAGTTTAAATATAGTTATGTAATAAAATCACAGGTGCGACTCAGGAATGGCGACTCCCGCCTCGCCCCCAAAGTGAGCTGGAGACTCTCGTGACCCCGAAAGGGAACCAGAGGTTTAGAAGAACAAATGAATGAATAAATCAGAGCTTTGCATTTAGCTCATTTTAGCTCTTAGAAGTCTGGGCTTCTTTTGAGCATCTTTTACAATGTGCTCTAATAAATTTCCTCTTCAGTGGCAATTCTTTGACATATTTTTTTTTTCGTTCCATTAAACAATAATTCCACAACAAGCCTGAAATTACATAAAAACACAATTACAAGTATTAAATTTGTTCATTTTTTCACTGGAAAAAAAATAGAGAAACGTTGAGAACTAACAGTTTTTATGTTTTGTTACAAAAATCAAAGAATGTTGAGACGAAATAAAAGTTTGATACCCCCAAAAAGCAAAGACAAGGTCAAAACAATGTGGAAATTGTATTTAAAATACAAGTGAACCTCTCCCAAACCTTATACACCGTTCCAGGCACTTTTTGTGCCATTGTGTTTTATTTTTATTCGCCAGAACTTTAAAAAATACAAGTCACATCACAGGTCTTGTTCTTCCAAAGGTTATCCCTTCTTTTCACCACTAGATGACACTCATGGTACCGATTTGGGCTGGGTGGCATCATTCCTACTTAATTCAAAACAGCTGCTGTGATTGGCACACACACTGGGGCGTGCAGAGACTTCTAAGGGCTAAACAGAGAAACAGTATGAAAATGGAACACAAATAAGAGTGCAGAGGAACCTTCAGATACAAGTAAAGTACATTAAAGCATGGTGGCACAGTGGATAGCACTGTGGCCTTCCAGCTAGAATGTTGCCGGTTCGAGGCTCGCTGATGACCTTCCTGGAAGGAGTTTGCATGTTTGCTTGTGTGGGTTTCCTCCAGGTTCTCCAGTTTCCACCACAATCCCAAAAAAACGTGGTTAGGTTGATTGAATGATCTAAAATCCCCTTAGGTGTGCATGCTGTAAGGGAATAAGATGGTTGTAAAAGGAATGAATTAAAGAAATATGCATTTCTGGTATGTTTTATGTATATTTTAGGAACAAAAACTCACAGGTAAAAATGTGTGTCTATAAAAATATTTAATTTCAAATGTTTATTGTTTGGTGGAATGGCAGAGGAAGACAGGCCTGTTTTAGTGTTGCTAATGTTAGCTCATGCTAACATTAGCTTCCCTTACAGCTTAAGATGGAATGAAAGCTTCTTTTGGGCACTTTTTCATAATACTTGTGTGTTCAAATCATTGTATCTTCTGAGGTGCTAGCTTTTTTTGTTACTTAATTTGCAAACGTGTCTTCTAGGTTGAATCCATTAAAACACACACAAAATGAAAATGAGCATCTTGGTTTGCTGACAATGTTGCTGGGATGACACTTTTACTTTCACTGAAGAAATATTTTTTAAGAACTTGGTTTAAGTGCTTTGTCCACAACTGTCTGTCACAGGTTATGTGATTGGTCAAAAGACCTCCCAGTATTGAGTAAAAAGCATTATCGTTGATATTGACTGGCACTTTTTAAATATTGCTTCAAGAAATATAAATAATTGATGTTTATGTTTTTAAATGTACAATATACAAAGTGAAAGTATGAAAAAAGTATCCAAATCAAATCAGAGCCATTCCACCAAATGAGTGCCATTTACTTGTTGTAACTTTTAAAAATGTCTGTTTTTACTTAAAACAGATTCCAATAGCGTACATACTTAAGTATTCCAATTGATCCATATTAAGAAACTTACATAAATGTTTTGTTACATTTTATCATCAAAAGATGGAGCAAGACGTGTTATTCTCTATATAAGTAACAAGACTTATGTAAGAAAGTATAGACATTTGTGTAAATAAATTTCAAACAAACATCATGTATGGATTTAAGCATCAATGCAAAGGTTATTTTTAAAATATCTTTATTATTATGTATAATGCAATTTGTGTTTTATATGGATTTTATCAATATTTTAAATGTTAGCTTAAATTAGCAATAACAACAGCATGTAGTACACTTTGTTTAACATTCAAATACATTTATTAAATAATTTTCGTTCTCATTTATCAATATTTGGAGTTACTACCTTTTGCCTTCAAACTAGCACCAATTCGGATTCGGTTCTTGCACGATGTCGGGGATTTTGTAGGATTATAGTCAGATATTTCAACCAATAACAAACAGTCGATGATGTGGTGCAGTGTCACACTGAAAACTGGGAGGGAAACGCCAAACTCTGCTACACAGATGGGGTGGTGAAAGACCTTTCTTGTCATGGCAACATTGAGAATTGAAGATGTAATGCTCAGCAAAGTAGACTTGTAAAGCAGATACAAGACACAAAAAGCTTCTTTCATCCCTTTATTGTATTTTGTTTAGTGCTGGAATTTTTTTTCGAGTTTTTTTTTTCAAGCAGGCAACATAATAATCTGGCTAAACCTATTGTGCATTCTGTTCATTTATTCATATGGATTGTTTTTTAACACTTTTTTTTTTACATCTGGACGCAGCATGCGTCCTTACAGCAGGTTCAATCCTTC